AGACCCACTGAGCACTCTCTTATTTGTACTAGAGATAAAGGGACTCCTTGACTCCTGTGCAAGCAGGAATAGGTCAGCCTGGATCTCCAGAGCAAAACAAAAAGCATCACTGGGATATCTTCATTTTGGGGGATTCCTCTGAGCTGCCCCACCCACACCAGGGGTGCACTCTGAGGCTAATGTTAAGAGTATTTTTTTCCACCATTCCTTTCTCTGCTCCCTTCCTGTCATCGACCTGCCATCTACAGAAGCTCCTCCACTCACTACAGGGCTGATCCCTCCAGTAAGGACCTGGGTGATCAAAACACTTCAACTCAGGCTGTGCATGATGCTGCTGGAAAGAATTCTCCATCTCTTCCGTTCTGTCTTAAACTAACAAGCTGATTACCGAGTGTGACCACTCAACTGCTGCTTGTACACCTTTTTCCTCCTTTTTTCACCTGCAGTCTTATCTGTTTACATTCCTTTTGTCAGGAATCTTTTTATGTGCTCTCAGCTTCCCCTGCTCTCCATGGGAGCCTCATTAAGGTGAAGAGAAGCAGCAGCAGCTCCCCAGGCAGGGAGAGGCAGCAACTGCCAGATGGACCATGCTCTGTGCCTCCCACCTCCCCCTTTTCCACACCCCAGCCCTCAGCACTGTCATTTTGGAGGAGAGAGATGATCCTGAGGGTCCAGGTCCTGCAAAAGGAGAAAAGAAGACATGGGGAGATGACCAGGAAGGAGTGGAGGAAAGAGGCTGTTCAAGGGGACCGTGCTGTCCAATTGGGAATCACTTCCTGAGAGAAGCTGAGTCCCAGTCCATTACTTCAGCATCCTTTCAGACACTGACTTCCAGAGCTGAAACAGTTTGGGAATCTGGAATCTGTAACTCCTTCCCTTTCTGGCCAGTCTCTTTTTTCTACACCAAAAATACCTTTTCTCAGGAAAAATTATGATCTTTCCTGTGAAACAAACTGGCATCCATTGGTATTTGATGCCCTCTGTGATCAGAGTTAGGAACGTGTCCTTGGAGCTGAGAGGAGTTATCCTGGAGTTTGCATTTTACAGAGACATGAACTTCCCTGCTAATTGGAAAATGGATGGGGAAAAATATGTTCAAAATGTGTCTGTGTGAATGGGAGAGAAAGCCCAAGGGAAGAACCAGCTCCTGGGAAGAGGAAGGCAAAGGGTCTGACAAAAATGAGGGAGAAGGACCAGGAAGAGGGAGAAGAGCTCTCTGAGGCTGGGTGGGTTTGTCTGGATGAGGGAACAGGAAATGCTGCTCTGCCTTGGAGCATGATTTTAAGTCATGAAAAGCAAGTCCTTCCTTCCCCTTTTCCTAATTTCTCTGTCCTTTTCCTTACTGACCTTCCAGGTACTTCCTGCAATGCCATGGACTGCCCTTCCTTGATTTCAAGCTCCACCCATCCAGGTGATTTAGAGAAGAGACTGACTGGAAGGAGCCTCTGGAGCTGGTTTTAAGCAAAAAAGACAACGGTAATTTCGTGTAAAATAGAAAAGTGGGAACACTTCTCCTCCCTGGAAGTGTTGAAGGGCAGGTTGGATGGGGCTTGGAGCAACCTGGGCTGGTGGGAGGTGTCCCTGCCCATGCAGGGGGTTGGGACTGGATGATCTAGGTGTAAAATTGGATCCCATCCAAAGTGCATCTAATTATCAGCCATTTGAGTTACTTCTGTATTAAACCATAAAATGGAGATAGGGTTGAAACCTCTTCTCATTCCAAAGGCCTAAATGCAGCAGTGACATCAATAACCCTGTAAATTACAAGGGAAATGAAAACTCGGTCAGAAAAAACAGATGATGTCATTTGTGCTGAGGGGTAAATTGGTCCCTGGTTGCCCGCGATGGGGAAGGTCTGACCTGCATTAGGGTGTAGCCTGAATCTGTCCCGCTGTTACAAAAAAACAAAGGACATACCTGAAAACGCTTGGGAAAGGCAGGATCCTGGGGATGGTTCGGTGGGTCTGACCCCCCCTGCCGGTCACCGCGCGTGTCCCAGCCGCTCGGAACGGGCTCTCAGGCTGCATCTAAAGAGGTAGAAGTGAGACGGCACCTGGGGCACTGAGTGCAGCCCTAGAGCCCTCAGCGCCGGAGAGGCACCGAGATGTTGGAGGGGATCCGGAGGAGGCCACCAAGATGATCCAGAGCTGCTGGAGCAGCTCTTCTCTGGAGACAGGCTGGGAGAGGTAAGGTGTTCAGCTTGGAGAAGAGAAGGCTCCAGGGAGACCTTAGAGCACCTTCCAGTGCCTGAAGGGGCTTCAGGAAAGCTGGGGAGGGACTTGGGACAAGGGCAAGGAGTGAGAGGGCAAGGGGGAATGGACTAAAACTGGGAGAGGGAGATTGAGGTGAGACATGAGGAGGAAATTCCTCTGTGAAGGTGGTGAGAGCCTGGCCCAGGTTGCCCAGGGAAGCTGTGGCTGCCCCATCCCTGGCAGTGTTGAAGGGCAGGTTGGATGGGGCTTGGAGCAACCTGGGCTGGTGGGAGGTGTCCCTGCCCATGCAGGGGGTTGGATCTAGATTATCCTTAAGGTCCCTTCCAACCTGAACCAGTGTGGGATTCTATGGTTTGTAGAAATGATAAGAACAGGCAAGTGGAAAATGAGAAGGAAAAGGGATGGAGAGGGAATTCAGGGGCAGCCACACTTGGCATTATCAAGGACACTGGTAACCCCGTGACATAACTCCAACCCCAGGTAACCAGGTTTGGGGTTAGGTTGCAACCTCCTAAAGCCAGTACTAGCAACAGTGCAGAGAGGAAAAATATCTGATAACTGGAATCTGGGTGAACTTCTAGGGGTTGCATAGAAATTCCTTTTGTCTCTCTCCATGTTTACTCTGCTGCTGTCAAGATCAGACAGAAAAGCAGTAGGAAGACAAATGTGATTTAGAATGAAGACAAACAGGAAAAGGTTGAAGGTGGGGAAAAGAGTTTTCTTGCAAAACAATGGGGCTTTTCCTGAGGAAACAAGTGGCCAGTTATAAATGAGCCTTGTTTTGATGGAATGCTTGTCAAAATTGAGAGAAAGCTGGGCCAGGAACCTTGAGGGGTACTGCAGGAACCAAGAATGTCAAAACATGTGCAAAACTGAGGTTTTTCCAAAATATTTTCTTGCCCAGAGTGAGGAGCTTTTCAGCTTTTCCTCCAGGCCTTGGGAAGGATGAAGTGGGGATACTGGGTGTATCCAAATTCAGCCAGGCTCAGGTTTTGACATCAGCACTGCTGGGAGGAGCTGTAAACAAACAGATCCTACCCAGCACCTTTTACTGCTCTGGTTCATTCTTCTTATCCCACATTATCCTTTGGCCTTCGGGACATATTCCCTGCTGGGAGGAGCCAGGGAGGATCAGTCAGTTCAATAGGTGCTTCCTGTTAGACAGTCTCACTACCCTTAGGGATACCAGGTTGTGGCTCAAAGTCATTCAGGGAGCTGCTTAATTAAGTACTTTGTTAGAAACTTCAGCAGGGAACTGAAAGCCTGAGAACAGCTCCCTTAAACCCCACCAGCTCCTCCAGACTGTGAGGGTGGTGAGACCCTGGCCCAGGTTGTCCAGGGAGGTTCTGGAAGCCCCATCCCTGGCAGTGTTGAAGGGCAGGTTGGATGGGGCTTGGAGCAACCTGGGCTGGTGGGAGGGGTCCCTGCCCATGCAGGGATATTGGATCTAGATGACCTTTGAGGTCCCTTCCCACCCAAACCATTCCATGAATTTATTTAAGAATGAACAGACAGAGACATCTTTTTCAAATATTTGTTTCATATAGCTTTTCTTTGTGGTTATTTTCTGTTACAGGTTTTTTTAAATAATGCTTAGCAAGACAGTACAACCCGAGGCAGACTCTACTTAAATCTAGACTGATAAAAAGTTGTTGTGTGTGAACCACTCCAACATTTTAAAGTCTTTGTTAATATTCTTAAAACTCTGTGTAAACTTCTTAGGATTTACTATTGCTTCAGATATGCAGCAGGAAACACAGCCTGATGCAGCTGGAGAAGAAAACTTTACCCACTGGTGCTTGCACAGAAAAAGGAACTGTTTAATCCTAAATGGAAAACCCCAAAGCAGAAATAAAAATACCAGCTGTGATCTGTGCAGGAAGCATTGCAGCAGCCTAAGGCACTTAGGTTTGAATCACAACGTTTTGGGTTGAGAACAGGCTCTTCTTGTTAAATCAAGAAGGTTTAGAAACATGGAAGAGGAATAATCCAAACCCTTCATTTTCTTGAAATGAGGGTGACCAGTTTCTGACTGAGAAACCAGTTACCCTCTGTGCTGCTGAGACAACTCAGCTACTGCTTTCCTGTGGGCTCCAGGCCATGCTGGCCTTGCCTGTCTCAGGAATTCCAGGTTTTCCTCATCCTGAGATGGATGGAGAAAACAGTGCACGAGCCTCACCCTAGAATGAGCTGCTCTGACACAGGCTCTTGACAAACACGTTTCTTTCACTTCTTTTACAACTGCTGATGTGTTTTTAGACTTTTTAACCAATTCAGAATGAATTCTGCATTCCAGAGGCTGAGCAGGACTGGAGGTGTGTGATCCTAAAAGATGAGTGGATGTTTCTGGGTCTTTGGTTAGCAGTCACAGGGCTACTTTAAAGGATCAAACCATTCTAGGGGAGATAGATCAGCCTGGTCCAGCAAACTGCTGCACCACATCCCATCCCTTGGATCAGCTTGACCAGCTACCTGGCCAAGTTCTGAAGAACTGGTACCACCTTCTCCTAAACTACTTATTATAGGATTTGTAACTGGTTTGAAAACCATCTGATCCAAGAGAGAGGACTTCAGTTTGGTGATGGTGATTCAGTTGCAGGACATGGATGTCTGACCTGATTTCTGTGTTGCTCAAGTGCATGAAAGCTCAGGATGACAGTCCCGGTGGCATCCTCAGCCTTGCCTGAGTGATCCTGGGATGAATTTAAGCCTATTCAGTGAGATTTGTGGGCTATTCTCTACTGCAGCCTCTGTCACCTATTCTACTGAGCAGGTAGGAAGTCAGGATTATTCCAGGTGATGACAAAAAAGGTGGTCATCAAACACCTGCTGATTGGCCTTCTCGAAGGTCTCGCTGCAGAGCGGGCACTCCAGGAGGTGACTCTGCACGTGGGCCTCAAACTCACTTGCTTCAATTTCTTCAGGAAAGACGTCATTGCACATGGGGCACTTCCTTAGGGAAGCCTGAAGTACAAAGCAAATGAAGTCAGTTGAAAAAAATCAGACTGAAAGAGAAGAAAAAGTTTAGCAGCCAGGTATGATCACTTTTGGACCAATCTGTCTGACTTGGAACCCTCTCAAGCTTCCAAATGCCTCCAGACTTCTGTAAATAGCACTTGAAAGTCAAGAGCTCCTGAGAGGTGCTTTAACATTCCATCCTCCACAGCACAGCCCATGTCTCCAAGATGAAATAAGGCATTTAGCAGCTGCATGCTGCTCATTCTGACATCAGATGCTGCCAAGAGCTGGTCCTTAAAGAGTAAGGTCAAGAGTTTCCTTCCTCTTCCTTAACACATTTAACTCATTCATTCTACACGTGGCTCCATTTCCTTGTGTGCTGTTTTCCCAGGACTAAACCCTTACACAGACAATTGGTTACAGAGCAGAACTTGGAGCTTTTTCTTTCAAACCACTAAGATGTCCATAAATCCCCTTTTCCTCTCCAGTCGTGCCCACGTTACTCACCACTTCTGCAGCTCCTGCCCCCAGGTTTGCTCCTGCAGCTGGAAAAAAGAAGTAGCCAATTTAACCACAAGAAAACGATGAAGAATTGAATATGCTGATAACAAGTGGTTCTTGAAACGTGAGGCTGTGGCTCTGGAGCTAAACCTCTACACCTGGGACTGTGGCAACTGGACAGAAGGCACAGAACAAGCTGTGTCCCAGCTGCATAAATCAGCTAATGGTTGTCTCTCTTGGCACAAAATTCACAGACAGCTGATCCCTTCACTCAGCTCTGACACCTGGTAGCATTTTGCAGCTGCCAAGTCACCTGCACACATGCAGAGCTGCCCAGAGGTGCTGCTAATAATGTCTTTTCTACAGCATTCCAGTTGGGATAATTCCCTCAGACTCCAACTGCCATGTGTTTGTGGTCCCAGACAGAATGCCAAGTAATCTCACCACCATACGGATTTCCAAACAGGAGGTCTTCTGCTCCTGGAGCTGGGATTGGAGCTTGAGCTTGTGAAGCAACAGAGATGGGAGAAGCCTCTCTGGGCTGTGAGAGGTGCCTCAGGAGCATATCATTCTCTTCCCGCAGGTTCTGCAAAGGGACAGAAAGGCAGAATGGATTTCCAGAAGCACAGGAGAACATTGCAGAGAAAAGTCATTCTTGGCACTAACACAGATCCTCTTGTATCAGAACCAAAATTGCTCTGAGCTTCTTTTAGATAGCTCAGGGTTAGTCCTGCTTGACCAAATGGGCAAGTGAGGTAAGGAAGGGCAAGGATCTTGTTCTGTGGCCTGTTGAGAAAGGCAGACAAGATGATCACAACAGAATAACATACTTCAAAAGGCAGAAGATTGTCCTGAAGTCATGCAGAGTGAGGAACAAAACTGAGAAGTCACTGCTTAGGCTGAACCAAAAGGCTGTGTCCACTGGAACAAGTCCCTTCATGTCAGTGGGATCAGAATTAAGCCAACATTAGGACTTTTTGGAAATCCTTGTGCCATTATGGGTACCCCAGTCTGTTTGGGGGGGGTTCTAGGGGAAAAGGTGCAAGTTTTTGGACCCTTCCTCATGGGTTGCACAGATTTAGCAGCAATAACCTTCTGTGAGTGAACACCCAGAGTCACCTGTAGGTTCCTCCAGACACCTGGTCCACCTGTAGGCACCACCAGTGACATGTTTGGGAGAAGGGTTAATGGAACTGGATGCTGGACTGAGAGACTGGTGCCATGGTGAGTGCAAGAGAAGGCCAGGGCAGTTGTGCCAGCTTCTCACCTGATTTTCCTCCTCAGCTGCCTTCTTTTGTGCCTGCAGAACCTGACACAAACGCTTCTGCTCCTCCAGTTCTTTCATCAGGTCACGGGTTTGTTCCTATGAAGGAAGAGTGATATTTGGGAAGTCCTGGGAAATAAACCAGTGACAGGTCCAAGCACTGGAACTGTCACATACCCACTGCCTCCTGCTGCATTTATTACCAACAACCAACCCTTCACTCTCAATGGCAGTCTCACCATGTCCTAGCTTGTCACCCAGGGTATCTCCCTGTCACCATTCACACTCATTTTCATTACCACACGTGAGAGGACACGTGGCCTCTGAAGGGGACATGTGACAGGACAAAGAAAGAGGGAGGCTGAAGAAAAGAAGCTCAGACAGGTGAAAAATCTACCCTGGCAAGTGAGAGTGATCCATGTCTGCCAGGTTTCCTGGTGCTGTGGGACCTGCAGTGATGCTGGACAGGCAGCACATCCTTAGGAATGAAACCTGTAGCTGACTCTTGGATTAAATCAGTCAATGAGACAAGCTAGAGAGAGCACCTGGGGATGCTGCAGTTATCCTCAAAACATGCCTCTAAGAATCCTGAACATTTGGCATCACAGCAGAGGCAATCACATCATCTATTTTAGGCATCTCATTTTCAATGCCACAGTAGAAACCTCCACAAGCTTCCTGAGCAGCACAGAGAAGAGAGGAGCACCTTTAGAAGGTCACTCAGGACAACAGGCTGAAGATGATGTGATGGCCTCAGTCACACCAGTGATAGTTTCAACAGAAGGAAATGCTGCTCTTTCTGCCATGGCTTGCCCATGATTGTCATAAGATTGTCATATAGGAAAGCTGGGGAGGGACTTTGGACAAGGGCAGGGAGGGAGAGGGCAAGGGGTGATGGTGACTGGAAGAGGGAGATTTAGGTGAGACATGAGGAGGAAATTCTTCCCTGTGAGGGGTGAGACCATGGACCAGGTTGCCCAGGGAAGCTGTGGCTGCCCCATCCCTGGCAGTGTTGAAGGGCAGGTTGGATGGGGCTTGGAGCAGCCTGGGCTGGTGGGAGGTGTCCCTGCCCATGCAGGGGGGTTGGAACTGGATGATCTTTAAGGTCTCTCCAACTCAACCCATTCCATGATTCTCTATCAGAAGACTGAGCAGTGTTTGTACCTGCTCACTGCCAAGGATGCCTCAGCCTCTCCCCCCCTGGTTCCATCCAGGAAGACTCTACCTGCTGAGCTCCAACCACCCGGAGCTGCTGATTCTCCTCCTTTAAACCTTCCAGCTGCTCTGTCTTCTCTTGGTCCACACGAGCCAGGTTCTCCACCTCCTTCTCATAACTAGACACCTGAGACTGGGCAAAAAGAAGGGTGGCCAGAGAGTGGCAATGACCAGCTCTGAGTGAGGAGCACCTTTTGCCGCAGAAAGCAAAGCTGCTTCACATTTTTCCCTGCAAATATTTTCCCTTTAAAACCTTGGTACAAACTGAGAACAGCTCTGTGGGGAAATATGCAGGAGCTGATGTGTTCATGTTCACAATATTCACTCAGATTCAGGAATATTCACACAATATTCACTCAAGAGTTTCTCAGAGGAGCTTTCTAAGGTTCAACACGACACTGGGAAGAACCAAGAGAAAACCAGAGACTCCACAGCTGGGTGATTAACCCATCCTCTGGGTCTCCCATGTCCCAGCCCTAACAACAGAGCTATTTTCAGTCAACCCTCTCCCTTCACAGACCTTCTAGCTCTAAGTCTTGTTTTGCACCCAAGTACTGAACATCCTTTTAGAATGTTTTTCAAAACAGAAATGTTTTCTGCCTCTAGCAGGAGGGAAACAACACTCTGATTCTGGTCAACTGACTGAGCATGCAAAGGGGATGTTTTTAGGGAATAAAATCCTTACAGTTTCTCTTAGCACATCCCCCTCTACCCTCCCTTCCAGAACACAGATCTTTTGGGTGTCAAACCCTATCAAAGGCTGACATTTTCCTAGGTAATCAAAAGAGAAACTCACACCCCAGCTATTTGCTCAGTTCTCTGTCAGAGAGAAGCAAGAGAGGGCAGCTGTGTCTGTGCTACCTGCAGCTGGTCCATCTGCTCCAGGGCTGCCTTCAGGCTGCTCTCCAGACGTTCCTTGTCAGAGCTCACAGTCTGAATTTGCTCTTTGAGTCTATTCAGAACAAACCAAAACACACCAAACTCTCAGGGATGAAAATCTAATCCATAAAGGCACGGTGCTTACAGGAAATCCGGACCTGAACCAGGCTGGAAATACACTTACTGCTGCAGTTCTGCCTCTCTGCAGCCATCCAGCTCCTTCAGATGTTTATTTTCCTTTTTCAGGGAATCCAGCTCCAGCTCCAGTTTCTCTGTGTTGCTCCTGAGAGACTCCAAACTCTTTTGCAGCTCCTGAAAAGCAGAGTGAGGTCAACAGGAGATGAATGGGACCCAAAGCAATAGTCCTGCTCTGCACTGGAACTGCAAAATCCCTCCAATGCAACAATTCCAAGCATCCCATCTGAAGGAGGGAAATCTCTGCATCCTGACTACTCCCTCAGACCCTCTTTCATTTCTATTTAGTCCTGTGCAAAACTGAATCACAGACTGGTTTGGGTTGGAAGGGACCTTAAAGATCATCCAGTCCCACCCCCTGCATGGGCAGGGACACCTCCCACCAGCCCAGGCTGCTCCAAGCCCCATCCAACCTGCCCTTCAACACTGCCAGGGATGGGGCTTCCAGAACCTCCCTGGACAACCTGTTCCAATGTCTCCCCTCAAAAGGAGGAGGAAAAGAGAATAACAATGTGATTTCAGCACAGCCTACAAAACGTTTTTGAACACTCCCCATCTCTTTCCTAACTTCTGTGTCTGAAAATGTCCCTTTTTATCACTATTATTCTTATCACAGTGGAGCTGGGGTGTGATTTGGTAATGGATTAAACAGGTGATATGGGGAGAAATCTCTTTGATTTCCTCCTGGAATCACACAGTGGAACAAGACCTGGCTCAGTCCCTTTTAATCTTTCTCAAATAAAGCTTCTGACTTAAATATACTATTTTTTGTTGTTGTTTACCTGTGCCTTGGTGACCTCCTCCTGCAGGTGGGTGTTCTGGCTCTGGAGACTGGCACAATTTGCTTTCAGCTCCTCATTTTCTTGACGTAGATTTTTGTTTTGTAGCTCAATCTCTTCCACCTCTCCCTGGCAAGCAACAAAGTTCTTTTGGTCATAACTTGTCCCATCCCTCCCTGCCCTTGTCCCAAGCCCCTCCCCAGCTCTCCTGGAGCCCCTTCAGGCCCTGGAAGCTGCTCTAAGGTCTCCCTGGAGCCTTCTCCTCTCCAGGCTGAACACCCTAATTCTCCCAGCCTGTCTTCCTGGCAGGCTGTGTCCATAAAAATTACATTTTAATTTAAAAATAGTCAAAATGCCCTGAAACCCCATGTATGAAGTTGCTCCCTGCTACAAAGAGCTCACAATTAAAGTGATGAATGGCAGGCAGAGAAAAAGAGGCTGCCCAAATGTGTGACAGGTCAGGAGCAAAGCCAAGAATAGAATCCTAGTCTGCTGAGTTCTCACTTGGCATCTGATTTACTGGATCACTCCATGTGAGCAGTGAGCACAAGCCAAGAAAACAGGGGAAGGAGAAGGCAGGGCAAGAGAGGAGAGGTACCTGTGTGGTAACCACCAGGATGTCATCCTCAGTCTCTGCTCTGAACTGGAAAGGCACACTGGCTCCACGGACCACCCCATCCTGGTCCACGTAGCAGAACTGGTAATACTCATCATCCTTGGGCAGGTAATAAGCTGCAGACAAACACAACCAACCGTGGCAGGCAGCTCCTGATGATCCACCTCTTAACAGCAAGTGAGACCCTCAGACAACTCAGACATGGAATCACAGGAAGGTGGGGGTTGGAAGGGACCTCTGGAGATCATGGAGTCTGACTCCTGCCAGAGCAGGATCCCCTGGGCCAGGTCACACAGGAATGTGTCCAGATGGGTCTTGGAAGTCTCCAGAGAAGGAGACTCCACAGCCCCTCTGGGCAGCCTGTCACAGGGCTCTGTCACCCTTAAAGAACTTTTTCCTCATGTTGAGGTGGAAGTTCCCATGTTCCAGTTTGTGACTGTTTCCCCTTGTCCTCTCACAGTCTGGCCTCTCCTTCCTGCCACCCACCCTGCAGATACTTGGGAACATCAACAAAATCCCCTCTCAGTCTTCTCTTCTCCAGACTAAACAGCCTTTCCTCACTCAGACATCCTGCTCCAGGGTTGCAATTCCTTGTGCCAGTGACAAGAACACAAACCTCAGCAGTCAGGATGGCAGAACTCAGCACAAAAATGCTGTCATTTCTGATGGGATTTGAAACAAACCTCCCAAAGCACAGCCCTGCAGCTGTCCTGTCATTTCCAATGCATTGTTAGTGCTCATTAGAGGCTAAATAAGCTAATGACTCCCAGCAAAGTGGGAGCTGGGGTCTGGGTGCCTGTGGGTGCCCATGGAGAGGCACCTGAGCTTCAGACTCACCCTTGAACTGGATCTGCTGCTGCACGGGGGTGTCACTGAGGGGGTCACTGGGCAGAGGAGCCCACAGGAAGGTGTAATATTCCCGGGTCGTTTTCCATCCCACCTGCAACAGCAAAAGGGTTCCATGGGGTCACCCAGCCCCTGTTTCTTCCTTGGTAACAGGACTGTGTTTCCACACTGATCACTGGGAGGATTTTTGCATTGATATCTTGGCTTCTAAGAGCTGTGGCCCGAGCATGAGGAGATAATTAAGGTGCTTGATCAGCCTTGAAGCTGCTCAGGTCACAACAGATCTGGCACTTTGCCCCTAGGCACAACAAGGATCAGAATCAGAGAATCATGGAATGGTTTGGGTGGGAAGAAACCTTAAAGATCATCTAGATCCAACCCTGCATGGGCAGGGACACCTCCCACCAGCCCAGGTTGCTCCAAGCCCCATCCAACCTGCCCTTCAACACTGCCAGGGATGGGGCAGCCACAGCTTCCCTGGGCAACCTGGGCCAGGCTCTCACCACCCTCACACCCAAGAATTCCCTCCTCATGTCTCACCTCAATCTCCCTCTTCCAGTTTTAATCCATCCCCCCTTGTCCTCTCACTCCCTGCCCTTGTCCCAAGTCCCTCCCCACCCTTCCTGGAGCCCCTTCAGGCACCAGATACTCATCACACAAAGTTATTACTGAAAAAAAAAAAAATGCCCTAACCCAGCTCTATCAAGGCCTGAGCTGTTTGTTTCTGCTGCTGCTGCTTCCCTGACCTGGGCACGTCTGGTTCCACTGTGTCCACTCACCCTGAAGATTCCCACCCAGTCCTTCCCTCGAGGGGTGATGTTCTGGGTCAGGGTGTAACAACAGGTCACGTCTGCCCCAGGGACATAAAACTTCTCCACGTTGTTGAAGACCACCTGGGAGAAGTGGCAGCTGTCTAGGAGGACAGCAGATGTGGGAGGCTCGTCTGAGGCCTCATCCATGGTGGAAGCCTGCAAGAAGAAACAAGGAGGGGATGAGCTCATCCTTAGATGCTGCCAACACAGCTGTGTCCATGAAGGGTATGAAGAGCTACAGCTTGGGAACCTTGTAGCTGTGAGGTCCAAATCCCCCCCCATGGACACCCTGAGGTGTTTTAGCAAGGCTGAGGAGCTCCCTGGGGTCCCTGCTGCTGTGGCCAGGCTGCTCCTGACACCCACAGCACCTTGCAGATTGAGTCTTAACTCCTGATCACTGCTTCCTCAGTGCCTGGTGCTCCCAGGTTGCCCCCCTCCTGTGTGGGAGGGACCCCAGGAACCAGACCTGACTGTCCTACAGGTCAGTGCCCTCCAGCAGCAGGAGCACACGTGCCTGCTGGTGGGATCCCACACGTGGAGGGCCTGGCTGGAACACTGGCTGTCCCTCCCATCCTGGTTTTCCTGTGGTTTGACACCCCAGGCACATCCCCAGCAGGTGCAGTCAGCGTGGGGGTGCAGCAGCTCTTCTGAAACCTGGAGACTTGCACCTTGCTGGAAAAGAACCCAGCTCCTGCTGCCTCAGTGAAATGCTCCAGTGGCAGCAGAAGACACAACCAGCACCATTACAATCTCTCCTGTGAGGAGCTCCAGGACTGGTGCAGCCCCAGCCCAAACACACCCCCCATTCACAGGCTGCCTGTGGGGAGACACAAGACCCCCCATCCTGGTGGGAAGACACAAGACTCCCTGATGGTGAGGACACACAAGACCCCATCATGGTGAGGACACACAAGACCCCATCATGGTGAGGACACACAAGAACCCCTCATGGTGGGGAGACACAACAACCCCTCACAGTGGGGAGACACAAGACCCCCCCCACAATGGTGAGGACACACAAGCCCCCCATGGTGTTGCTCAGCCAACTCAGCCTCCTTCCTCCCTCCCCACATCCCAATCCAAAGGCAACAACTCAGCCTCCAAACCCAGCATCCTTCACCTCCAACTTCCTGGCTCCCAGGGAAGAGGTACCTTGCTAAGTTCTGCTCCCATGGAAGAGCCCAAACAGAGGAGCTCCTGGTGAGGCAGCTGGTCGTGGCTCTGTGTGCCCAGCCTGTGTCACGAGGCTCTTCTAGCCTGGCTCCTCGTGACCTCTGGGCTGGAACTGCAAGATGATTCTCAGGGTGGAGGGGAATGTGTTGCCTGACAGCAGGGTCAGCAAATGAAAGCTCCTCCATGTGGTTTCCCCACAGAAACCCCTCAGTGAGCTGGGAGGCTGCAAATCACACACTGCCCACATCAATCTGTGCTGGGGGCATCCATCAAAAGTGTCCCCAAGCTGCCAGGAGCTGAGGCAGGGCTGGAAACAGGACCTTCAATCACCCTCTTTGCTGCTCTGCCTCACAGGCTGCAGCCCTGGCCACCTGTCAAGGGGCAGAGCAGTGCCTAGAAAACCCTGCTGCCAATCCCAGGCAATTCCATCCCAGGAATGCAAAGCAGGAGCTTCTCAGCTGATCCCAGTGACAGTAGCAGTGAGCAAGGACTGAGCTCAGAACAGAGGGAAAGTTCATCCTGAACAACCATCCTGCTGGAGCATTTCAGGTCATAGAATCATGGAACGGTCGGAGAGACCTTAAAGATCATCCAGATCCAACCCCCTGCATGGGCAGGGACACCTCCCACCAGCCCAGGCTGCTCCAAGCCCCATCCAACCTGCCCTTCAACACTGCCAGGGATGGGGCAGCCACAGCTTCTCTGGGCAACCTGGGCCAGGCTCTCACCGCCCTCACACTAAAGAATTTCCTCCTCATGTCTCACCTCAATCTCCCTCTCCCAGTTTTCATCCATCCCCCTCATCCCATCCCTCTCTGCCCTTGTCCCAAGTCCCTCCCCAGCTTTCCTGGAGCCCCTTCAGGCACTGGAAGCTGCTCTCAGGTCTCCCTGGAGCCTTCTCTTCTCCAGGCTGAACACCCCAACTCTCCCAGCCTGTCTCCAGAGCAGAGCTGCTCCAGCCCTTGGATCATCT